TACCTTAATTATCATTTTCACATTTTCAACCCCTCCAAAAAACTATCACATCCTCTTTTAGGGCGGTTCCTACACCCTTTATTAACCTCCCCACCATTCTTCGTGGCTCTCAGTCTTCTCCTTCTTCACCGGGACCACGGCACCATGTCTTCTCGACGGGCTCTTCAAGGACTCGACCTCGCCTGATATACTCCTGGCCCTCATCAACCATGCTCTGTCGTAACGACTCTTGCTCGGCAAGCTCACAGACTCGACAGATTATAAGCGCCACACTTCGTGCTGTTTATTTGCTATTTGCACGATTCATTATCAGTAAGTCATAAACTTGATTTTGCTTCTCTACAGTGCGCGTACGCCCAGAGCACCACGCCACACAGCGATCCACACACGTAAACACTTATCCCATAAAAATTTTTACTGTTATGTTGAAGTTGGACTAATCCAGGAGGCTCGAATTCTGGCGCTAGTGACGAGCTTCCCAAAGCTGCAACAACTATCCCCAAGCTGGGATGCGCGTCAGCTACGAGCGCACAAGGTACAGTGCTGGGATACAGTAGCGTTCTACGGCCATGGAAGTGCGATCGAATTGGTTCTGCAACGGCAGAAGATTCCTCTTATATTGTTGAATCGGTCTCTCAGGGCTACTCGATCATCGCCAATTGCCTATCAACAGCAGCTTATGAAGAATGCCTACAAATGGGGATTGATGCCAAACAATGGAATCTCCTCACCAACTTCGGAACCAGATTCCCCATCCATTCGGTTCTGATAATACTGATATTTGGAGATAGTCTTAACTCGGGGGGCATATTTCGCCCAAGCTTCAGTCCTGGGCGGAAAAAGAACTGCTGGAGAGAGGACCGCATAATTTACGAACTCTGCTTTCCACTGGCGCCTTTACAGCAATATTGTGCTTCTATCTACGCAGTAAACTTGTTGTGCGAAAGATACTATATTGCTTGAGAAATGTGCTGTTCACACTGTCGACTCCTTCCAGGGACGAGGAGCAGGTATTGTAATGTCGATGATAACAAGGGCGACTGGCATAATGGATGAGGGCACCACAAGGATGGAAATTCTTCCCGATAGTGAAAGGACAACAGCTGCACTGCCACATTCCCCGCACGTTATTTTTATCGTTGCAAATTACCGACTACTTCCGCAACATTCGATATGAACCAAATATATATGGCCGTTCAGTCGACTTCGATAGTTCTTGCCTCGTGTGTGGAAGCTATGACTGGTGATGGCAACAGAGATGACAATGGAATATTGCTGAATCTCAAGGACGAATCGCTAGTAGCAAATCTAGCAGTTAGCCACAAATGGTACTTGGGGCAACGATGGACTGATATAGTACTTCAAAGTAGTGAAGCTGTGATTTACTGTGCACTGAAAAAATTTTTTTGACACGACTTACCAAAGGCTTTTAACCCTACTTTCCCCTAAAATGGGAGAAGTAAAGAAGGATCCCTCTTTCACTCTAGAAGAATGTGATATAAAATTGTTTTAAAATAAAATAAATAAAACTAGGAAAAATTGAAAAAAGAGAAATTAAAAAAAGAAAAAAAAAGTAAAAAGAAGAAAATGCAGAAGATAAGCAAGATATTGTGCGAGATCCGTTCCCACATTCCAAATCTTGATAACCCAAAGATAAAAGTATATTTTTGCAAAAACAAAAGTTTCTAGACGGACATCACTGAAACCGTGGATTCCGGGGTTCCGACAACGGCCCAAGAACACTTAGCGGAAGTCGACTATAATAATGCCCCACATTCCAACGCTAATGGATACAGCAGTCTATAAAAACAACCCCCTCATTTGCTCGAGGTTCCATTCGTTTCATCTTTTGCGCAGCTTCAGACATCAATGGTTTCAATTTACTTCGTTCTAACCCGGGTTTGATTCAGCTGTCGCATCCGCTGGGTGAATTTATCATACTCGTTTGTGTTTTATTATTGTTTCATGTAAGTAATTTGATAGTCGTTTGCATTGTTGCGTTATTTTGTTTTTGAACAATCTTGTGTGAGTAGTTAGCATTGTATTAGAAATGCGAAATTGTAAAGATCAATCCGCTTCCGCATTTCGGGTGCCGTAGATCCTCCGACGCGCACATTTCATGAAACATTTACTCTGCATTGCAACTTAAAACAGATTTTGAGTTTTCAACTTCAGTGACGCTGCTGCGCGTAGGAGTTGCTGTTAATTTTTTTTTTTTTTTTTTTTGTATTTCACAGAATCAGGTAGTATTTCATGAAATTTCAGCTTTTTTTTCCTGCTAGACGTCGAGAGTAAGATGACGGCAGCATTGTAGTTTAAACAGTTGATACCTGTACGCTGGATCCGTTAGTAAATGAAAGCACGTTTTGCACTTACCAACTCTCACGTGAACAGCAAGCGTCTTCAGAAGAATACAGTTTCCTGCTCAGTCTAGTTGTAGAGTTATCCCAAACTAAATATTCATTTGCACGTAAACGTGCTTTAAAGCTGGAACTAAAATGTCTAGTTTGCATGTAGGCATAGAATATCCTCGCAAAATTCCAGCTCAGTAGCTTGGTTAGTTGACGAAATCGCTTTTTGTTACAAATGTCTCTGACGTGTCCGAATGTGCTACGCAGGCTTGCGCCGAAACTCATTTTACGGTTTCATACTCGGATGCTGAAAACAAATGTTCTCATGAAGTTAAGGTAATCTAATCAGCTAGGTTCCCGAGTTGGCATTTTCTCAGCAATTTTGCAATCTCAGCTTTGAGCTGTGTTTGCGAAGTTGCTGAGAAAATGCCAACTCGGGAACCTAGCTGCTAAAATTTCAAACAATCTTCTATGTATCTGTGTGAGCCAAAGATTTCATATTCAGCTTTAACGCGTGCCTAACTGTGACCTACTTTTACATGACGTAGGCACGCGTTAAAGCTGAATTTGAAATCTTTAGCTCACACGGATATGTAGAACATTGCTTGAAATTTTAGCTCATATCTTGTCTGGTTTTCGGGATCTCTTTCTTTCCAAGTAATTTGCACGAATTCTTTTTGACCTCCGTACGTAAGACCCAGACGTACGCGAACGTAAGTTCTTTTGATGGTGATTGGACTAAGGACATCTTTATGAAGTTTCATCTACCTAAAGTTGAATGTGTATCGGGAATACCCGAGAATTCCACGGAAATTTAATGTTGCATGTATTAATATGTGATATTATGATTTATGAGTATAGTTATGTTATTTAGGTTGCGATGTTGCAAAAATGATTGATGGAATATTGCTGTAAACTATGACCTACTTTTCAGGAAAATATTCCTGTGTTTAATTGGAAATTGATAGTTTAGGTTAATTTTTAATCTAAATTTTATAAGAATTCTGAAGAATTTTCTTATTTGTTACATAGAATTAAAGCAGGTTATACTGTGTAAGTATTTTGGTCGCTGAACTTCGATAACCAAAATTGTATATAAAGTCCGAATTTTATCATTCTCATTACCACCTCTCCTTTTATATCTATTTTGTAGGGCTTTAGCAATAGAGAATATATGAAAGATATGGTTTTAAGTAACTTTTGACTATGTTCTCGTTGCATTTGTATGGGTTTTATTAATCCTTTGTATAGCTTGTGAGCGTTACATAGTTAGGTTGTTGTTCGCAATATAAGCTTACTATTTAGGTGCGCTTGTAGGTATATTGTTTTGTGATTGTAAGGTTATATTACCCAAGTTTGAGGTATGAGCAGCCCAACTGGGAACTGCATCGGCACGTGAGTCAACAGAGAGTGTTTAAAGAAAATTTGGTGTGGAAATTGGTGTGAGCAATCCACAACAATGTAGGTGACAAAAATCCGAACACACACACAGCTATACACACACACACACACACACACACA